CGGGTGAGTGATTCATTGACAATTTATATAAAAATATTATTTTATTGACACATCTTGGTAACGATTATATTTGTCTTCACACACAGAATACATCTGTGATCGTTGCCACTAGCTTTATCAATCTTGTGTCACGATTTGAAGAAGATGGAACGAGTGGTCACTCTCTAGTCTAGCTATGAAAATTGATATGATTGTATAGTTCGGATACATTGAAGATGGCTCGAAGGAAGGCCGAAACGTCTGAACAGATTAATATGGAATAAATTCTTAACTCATCGCAAACGTCTACAGCGAATTTTACTCTCATTAGCCCTTGATTATTTTCTTGTTTTTGTTAATCATATAAGTTAGGTTAATTCTTTCGTTTTTTTTATATATATATAAATTTTCATAAATAAAACCAAATTTTTAATTTTCTCTTATGACCCGCATTTAATTTTTAAATCGCCCCCTCACTAATATCCCGTACTCCCAAACCGCCTAAGATTGCACGAGGTCCAATCCCAGGTCAAAAGGATTAAGTTCCTTGACCTAAAAAGTAGGACCAACGCTCGCACTGTCCATTGAAACAAGTGTCATAGCGTCCCTTTGGGACGTTGACCCTCGTTCTGGGACTTTAAAAGAGTGCGAGCGACTCACAGCTGTACGCTTCCGTGCGTATACCTGTGAGATTGAATCAACCGTCCTTCCGTACCCTCTCCATCTTCCTCTCTCGCCTATAATAATCAGGGTTGGACGTAACATTATGTTAATAATAAATTTTTAGGGGACTGCAACTGAATCATTAACATGTGTAGTTTATAATTTCTTATTTCTGTTCATTAATTAAATTTGAATTAAATTTTATATTTGTTACTTTTTTAGAATTTTATTATTAATTTTATATTGCAACAAATTTTAAATGAAATGATATAATAATAAATGTATTAACTATAAAAATATAAATTTAAAAAGTTTTATTTTGTCGAACTTATCATTTCATTGTTATTATTTATTTAATATTACCTAAATATTTAATCCTTTTTTCTCGATAAATTATTCATAAGATACATAGTAATAAATTATTCTTTTTATTAATCTTATATTCTTAATTATTTTTATTCATGACGTCAATTTCAAAGACGGTACGATTTGGAATACTTACAGGTACGACTTAGGCGACCGGTTGCCTAAATCGGACCTTTTGCAATATATTGCAAAAAGACTTTCAGTGAATTAATTTAATATTGATAAAAGATAAAACGTATAATAATAGATACTTGAAATATCAAAGTATAATTTCTAACCTTCATTTGCACACAAATCAGTTCTAAATGAAAAATATAAGAAAAAATAGATTAAGTGGTACGCATTCAGCAACTTTCCCCTATCTATCGCGGCTATCAAAGGGCCGAACTTTTGTTCGCGAGATCTTACTAGAATTATCCTTGTGAGGCGTGAACTCGTGCTGCTAATAATTAATACCATTGTTCTATGTTGTCGGGAGACAGTACCGAGAAAAGTACGCATTGAAATACCACTTTCTATCGCTTAATACTGTCACCACCTTGTCGAGCTAGAGATTTACAGAATACATTTGTTACTTTATTTCTATTAAGCACTGTGTTATTTCTTATCGCCGCCCCGTTCGTTCCTCCAACAATCCTCTGTCAATCACGAACCGCACCCTCTACCATTTTCGAGACTGAGCTGCCGGTTGAGAGGGCCGTCGACGTTCGCAGTTTAATGTAAAATCGCGTGGAAAAGAGATTCTAAATAATTTTGAGTAAGAGTGGCACGCTCGCTCGTGCCTGGCGCCTAATTATCGTTCTTGAAATCGTATACTGTGTATCGAAACGAACGGACGAGGAGGGAATCTTGGTTTCTTGTAACGCCGGATGAACTGCTAGCATAGAATTCGGTCTTCAAGTCGTATTTAAAAAATATTTCTATTGTATAGAATACACATATTTGTTAATAAGTTTCTTTCCTTTTCGCAAAATACTTAATATTTATAAAATAATATTGGTTTAAAAATGCAGTCCATTAACTTGTGATTCAAACGTTCCGGAATCACTCGAGTTTACCCGAACTCGCGCATGACGTCACGAGGTTGTTGCCGAAAATGTATCATATATGTTCTTCCCTTATACTCGCTCTATTTTTAATACACAATTAAAGGAAATGAATAAACCGAAAGGTTATCGATGGTGTTTTGTGCCTATGTGCAAAAATACTATAAAAAGTGCACCGCATAAGGTATTTG